CCCCCCCCCCCCCCCAACCCCTTTATAGAGGAGGAACTGGAAATAAGACCCAACTGAAAATGTTTAAGAGGCATTTTTTACATTAAAAAAAAAATCATCTAATTGATGGAGGGTGGATCAGGGTGGAGGGGGAAGCAGAAGCTTATCTGTTTCAACATTTTCACTGACAAGCTCTCTCCGACATTGGGTAAAAACAGATATTGCACTTGAGCTGACGCAAATGGAGTCGGGGCAAAACCTGGGACAAAAGGAGAACCCTTCACACAAAGCTTGTCCCTGGAAGAATGGCAATTAACTCGAATAAGCTATCGTTGTCTCAGGAAAAAGTGTTAACATACAGCATCTAGCACACTTACGTGGGACAAGAGGAATATAGGGCTGTAGGATTCCAAGACAAAAGGCTTTCTTTCACGAGAAAACCAGTCTGTTCTTAGCCGTAGTGGAACCCTAGTTAGGACCTTGTCACACATTACACTTAGCACATGTTAACTACACTTAAAACTAACCCCCCACCCTTGTGGTGGGTGGCTGGGGCCAACAAAGAGCTGATTTTCAGTCTCACACTTCGACACACTCAAGCAAGATTAAGACTCTGGTGTGATGGTGTGGCTGGGACCAACCCCACATTAGAGCATACCAGAGTCTTCAATGGCTTAAATGCTTAGGATGTTTCATTTAGACTGTAGTAAGCTTTACCATATGACTGCTCAGAAAATGTTCCAACTTGTAGTACATGTCCTAAGTGTAATGTGTAACGCAGCCCTTATTTGGTGGGAAGTTCGGAGGAAGACCTCTCCTCACCCATTCCAACATTACTAATAGCCTGGCACACTTACCATGTGGGGATGTAGAACTGTTTGCTGGCCAGACCTACCAAAAACAAGGCAAAGCAACTTCTTTGAGGTTCTGGAAGAAGCCTGGGGCAGATCAAAGGCAGGTTGTCTGATCTGAACTATTTAAGAACCTTAGAAGGTGCAGAATTTGTTAAAACGAAGAAGAATGTTGTCCAAAACTAGACAGAATATAAATACTGAACTGTTGTAGAGCATACATGCTATTTGCAGATGGACATAGTAAGCAACCTAATATATATTTTCCATCTCTAGCTGGACTCTGTGAAATGCCTGGACTCCATCACCTTAAGGAATGAAGAGTTAGTTGCTCTATCTGAACTACTGAAGAACTTTAAGGAGGGGCAGAATTTGTTCTTCCAATAAATGAAGTTTCCCAATTACCTTTTTCACAGTCTTGTCAGGTTCAAGAGCGATATCTGGAATGTTGGCATCCACCATGAGGGAGAACAAATTCAAGATCAGGTTGGAATACCTAAGGAAAAGAACAGAGTAAGTCAGAAACACTTTGTAGACAATGGCTTCTTATATTACTGTTTCCCTCACCTACATAATTCCCTTCATAATGTTAGCTTAGTTGGTAATATTCAAGAGACTTAATTTGTACATTGACACGTTCATTGGGAATGTGTTCGTATTGCGAGTTCAAAAGCCCTCAAATTTGCACTGAAATGTGCACTTTGCTTTAAATGCTGTATGAGGTCTGAACAACTTTCTTTTCTAACCTCCTACAAACACCTAGAAAAATATACCTGGATACCTATGTAACACAGAGTTTAATGGCAAATATTCCAGAATTTAAGAGGTTTTTGTTTGTTGTTTCTCTTACTCAGGAACAGGAAGGTACAGATTAAATGGCTGTTGAAAGCAATTCTTAAAAATACTCTTTAAAAAAAATGGGATATAGTGCAACAGCTGCACATTAGTAATCACTGTTTAAATTAATATTCATAAGAACAACTGAAATCTTGACAATCAAAACATTTTCTAAACAGACTTAATAGGTTTCTTTACCACTTGGTTTATCCAGACTTAAGACTCCAATTTCTCAATGATACTGAAGTATCTTATACAAGTATGCTGCACATTTGAAGCACATAGGTCATTGATAACTATTAAAAAGAAGAGACACTGCAGTTAAGAGTTTTTTTCCAATTTAAAATGCTGGTGTTGGAAGTAGTTGTGAATCTTTTAAGACTATCATTTTGCCCTTGCAGGAAATAAACTGCAAGCCAGTTCTTCAGAGGATAATTCCAAACTGTTCAACATAAACTGCAACTTTCCTTACCCTACAGACATCTGAGGAAGGGAGGAGAAAGTTAGGTCATCGTTACAATTTGTAAAACTGCCTTTATATGAGGATTTTAAGTGTTCAATAGGGCTGTGCGAAGCTTTGGTCCCTGATTTGATTCAGTGGAGATTTGGCCTGATTCGGTGGCTGAATCTCCAAATCTGAATCAGGAGACCCTTTAATCTCTCCAAATCGAATCGGAACCCTCTGAATTGATTCAGAGAGATTAGAAAAGATTTGACGATTCAGCTATAGACACAGCTTTAAATATTTTTTTCTACATACCTCTAAGTAGCAGGAGGCTTGTGAACACTGTGATGCTGGGGTAGATGGAGCATCCCACAGGAGCGCGGTGGATTCCCCAGCACACTTGGCAGATCTGGAAGTGGACCAGAAGCACTTCCACTCCATTTCTGGGTCTGCTAGGTAGCATGCTGGGGGGTCCTCCTGCACATTCCCCCGGCCCGGCAACTGGTGCCTCCTGGGTCCAGGGGGGCAGCCAGGGTCCCCCGCAGCTGATCACCAAGTCGGGGAGGTACAGCCCTCCTGCCCCCCACCCCGTGCTCAGCTGTGGATCTGGAATTGGATCAGAAGTCCTTCTGGTCCACTTCTGGGTTCACCTCTGAGCATGCAAGGGGCACCCCCACACTCCTGTGGGATGCTCCATATGCCCCAGCATCGCAGAGTTCATGAGCCACGCCTAGTACCTCTTCAGATTCAGCCGAATCGAACTGAGGACAGTGATCCAAATCAACAAGTCGAATCACTGTCCCTGATTCGGGCCAAATCCGAATACGGCCCGTTTCATACACCCCTAGTTTTTAATAGGTAATGAAAAAGGAATGTGTCACAGAAAAGTTAACTTACTAGTTCTGAATACAAACATGTTGATAATCCTACGCAAAAAAAAGGTATAAAATGAGAAAGGGATGCTCTGATCGCCAAAGAAAAAAGAACCATAGTTATTTATTTCTAGAATACAATCCATACTTAGAATACGTAAAAACACCCATCGATACTCTTTTTAAAGCCCCCGTTATGTGCCAATCTCTTAAAGTTTCATTACAGAAGGAGATGTTACCACTTGCTATAGACACTTTCCATTGGAAAATTCCGTTTTAAAATGCAACCGAACTTTAATTGTTAGAGGGTAAGTTTTCCCTGTCCAACATCTGTCATGGGCATTATTTTTTCAATGGTGAATTTTCAGTTAAATTAGTTCAACAGTTTCCAAAACATTTGGTGAAAAATAGGTCTGGCATTATTACAAAAGCATTCTTATAACACATTTTGATGAGATGCTCCAGTGCCTCCATACTTTAGAGCATGACTATGATACATGGAGCAGATGAGTTATCTAGTATGGGGGGGAATAAGCCTCCTGCAATCCCCCTGAACATTTTGATTCTACTAAAAAAAACAAAAAACAAAAAAAAAAAAAAAAAAAAAAA